TTTTATACCCGGCACCCGAACCGACCCGGCAAATTTGTACCCGGACCACAGTTCCGGGTCCGGTCGGGTGCCGGGTACCCGGCCCCGTTGCAGGACTCTATATCCAACGGAAATCTGAATGAATAACACTACGGCAGGAGTATCCACATGCCCCGGGAAAAGAGACTACATTTAATGTACCGAGAGACAATCAATAAAGAAAGCATGTCCACAACACTAGCGTGAAAACGCATCATACTTTTTGAAAACAAATAAAAATCCGTATAGTTATCAGCACATCAACCGACAATATCATTTACTAGGGTTCACTACAAAAACACGTACATAGCTGAAGTTTTAAATTAAAATAAATTATATTTGATCAGACTTATTCTCGGAATACGCCACTTGAATGACGCTTGTATTCAAAGTAGTCATCGGATTAGACAGGCAATTTCAAAGTACTCGAATAAATTTAGAAAAACATATCAGTAAACTTGATAGGGATGTGGGTGCTCTAATTCAACTCGCGACCAATACCAACACCTACACCCACCCTAGTATTTTGAAAAATTTTTATTTTTCTCAAAAAATGTAAGATGAAATAAATTCATTCAAGATTACAGCCTGTCCACAGGTAATGCACTCACCCATTTTTGACCTTCTGATTGTTACAACTCGATAACTGAAGGTAACAAAGAGCTGAAACTTGCACTGCAGCAGGATATATGAAAGTTCTAGTTTCACTAAAATTTTCATTTCATTTGGTCGAACTGCAACTATTCTAGAAGGATAGAAAGTCGTGGTAACGCACTCATTCAAAAGGGCCCCTTCCATCGGGGCCACTCAAAAAAGCTCACATTCCTTAAAACTTTCTCGCTCTGAAAAACATGCTTTTATCTGTGTTTGAAGCTAAGACAACAGACCTGATAATGGTGAAATGTGTTTTTTGAAAGCTTGTTCCTACAAAGAATTATCAGTAAAACATTACGGTAACGCACTCATCAACTTTTTTCGAACCACTCAAAAAAGCACATTTTTTAATAACTTTGACAACAATAGAAGGTAATCCATTGATGTCAAACTGTAGCTCAATCTTCGATGACACCACTATTATTTCCATTTTTTTAAATGATAAAGTAATGTTCGAAATATGATAATAAACAATAAGGCCCTTTTTTTATAATTTTTGCACAAAAAATGCTTGAGTTTGGCTGGCGACCACCATTTCTTCTCGTCATTATCCAAAACAAATGATATCTATCGATAGAGAATATACGAAAACCTACAAGAAATTTTTGAATGAATAAGTTCAGTCGTCTTATGTTCGAGAAATCTTCTGCTCAACTTTGACCGCGCTGGGCTACCGTTAGCTGGACAAGCTGATTAGTAAAATGACCATAACATTGTAATAGATTTATGTATTTCAAATTATTTTTTTCAAAAGATAGCTCTTTTTTCCTCTACAAAAATAGATATTTTAATCAATTATGTATATGTAGGTTTGTCATAGATATTATTCATTTACTGAGATGGATCGAAACTTTTGAATCATCCTTTACTTTAAGCTAAAACATCATTTCAAATAATTAATTCTATTATGGAAATGTAGTCTGAACAAAAGCCTATCAGAATAGCTATGAATCACGATTTGTCCCTATCTATTTTATTTGAAATGGTTGTAGAAAGAGCTTGAACTTGATGTCAAATGAATCGTGAGTTCATGGTCTTTCATTCTATATATAGTTCAATTAGATTTAGTCTGAAAAGTCAAAAAAAGTGGTCAAAATGCAACCAAATGCATCCTGGTCCTTTTAAAATAAGAACTGTATTATGTTGCCAAAAGAAGGGTCGTACTTGATAGTTTACAAAATATTTGAAAGTAGGGATTCGGAACTCAACCTCAAGGTGTACGGTTAGGCTTAAAGTAGGATAGAAAAGACTGTAATAAATAATACGCTAATTAATACTAAAAGTATACACTTTTAGAGATTCACGAAAATTATTTTTCGAATAATGAAATATATTTTTCTACACTTTTAAATGTGCTCTACAATTTAGCATAAACATTTATTTAGAATTTTCAAATAGCGCCTCATATGGACAAGCCGACATATTCTCATGCAGTTGAAACTGCTCGATGAGACCTAATTAATAAAGTCGAAAGGTATCGTAATTGCTTGACGTATCTCTCACTCTCACCCTCAAATCCAATTCTGTTAAACTTATTTCATGAATTGAGTGGCATTAATCTGATGTATACTGTTAAAAATAATAATTTTATACAATTAATAAATCTCTATTAAAATATAATGCTCATATAATTGATAAATTTATTAAATAATTTCAGTACAATATCAAAAGCTTTGACAAAATGAATTCATTTCTCTTTCAATATTCTTAGTTTTTCTTTTCTTGATATATGTTAAGTATTTTGTTGAAGAGTTTCGGGTTTAATTCGATTTTTTTTATATTCATAAATTTTAACGAAAATAATTGATAAACAACGAGTTATAATAACTAATCCACCATAAAGAGAAATGAGAGATATTATTGTTTGAGTTACATCATGAGTTTTAATATAAGTATATAAACATGATAATGGTTGACATTGATTAAAATAATTTTCATATGATAAATTAGTTTTATATTCTTCAATCATTAAATTATTTAAAATTGATTCAATTGTTGAATCTAAATTAAATTGACTTTTTTCCAACGTTGACATATTTAAACTTGTAAAATTTCCATTTGAATCAATACAATTTTGATCATAAAAACAGTAAAGTTTTGTTTGAAGAATAGATTCAAGTGGATAACAACCACTCATCATATCTCCTGATGACTGAGTACATTTAAATGATAATCCACAATTACATTCACCATAACTTACAGGTGCTGTATGTACAGGTAAATAATCAGAAAATGCACTTTCAGTAACATATTCCCAATTAGTGCTCCATGTACTCATAATCATATTCGAACCAATTATTTCACGAATTAAATTAATAATATTAAGAAATGAATTGGATGTAGTTGATTGAAGTTGATTTAGAATTATTTCAATTTGTTCAATTAAAAGATTTTCAGATAAAAGCCGAGAATTAATAAAATAACTTGTCAATAAACGCGAAAGAGTATGATTTACTTTTTCTTGACTAAGTTTACAAAGTGAAGAAAGTAAAAGAAATTGTCCAGGAGCTGAATAACGATAATCATCGAATGAAAATCGACGAGAAAGATGACCTTCACCATAAACATAATGAATCCATTCATCAGAAATAAATTGACTTGAACATAAATCATGAAAATGAGGTTCAATATTAAGAAATGTTTCATATGGAATAGATATTTGTGAACAAGAGCATTGAAGAGAATAAGAATGCTCTTGTAATAAATCTTTATATTTCGAAAGTGATGGTTTTATTATTTGAACAGTAACTAATTTTGGTTTAAAAGCAGAAAATAGAAATATGAAATATAATATTAATAAAAGAAAAATGAAATGAAGTCGATTAATAATACGTTGTTCAGTATTACAAATAAATAAGTTTTTTATCATTGTTATAAATCCATTAAAAGAATTATTATTAATTGTATTCTCAATAAATCGAAGAATAATTATAATAAGTAGTTTTAAT